AGTTCCCACAAGTGTTTCTCTAATCGAAGATTTCAATTTCGCAAATACATGGTTTGGTCCTCTTCTCTGAACGCCACCGAAATTTGTGTTGGTGTTGTCAGCACAAAATCCCACAATTTTCTGGTCATATTATTTTGTTCAAACACATTCTTTATAAATTTACAAATGGTGCCCGATGTGTCATCAGTAAGTGACTGCAGGTCTAATAACTTGACAATACCCAGTGACGACACAAAATATCTCACAAGGAGTGGGAACACCTTTACTTCCTTGTGACTTGAGGTATTTGTGAAGATTGGCACGAATTTTACTTTCTTCTCTTTTGCTTGAAATTTATCTCTGGCCACTGGGAACGGGATATTAGTTATTATTATTAATAGTATTATTACTATTATTAGCATTATTATTACTGCCTCACATTTTGTGCGCGCACAAGCAAACTTTGTCTCAAACAATTTCTCTACCAACCTTCTGATGAAATTCATGTAGTGAAAAGCGGGCTTACGAAATACAACATGATAAGAGAAGGTACCTTCTGCGGCTGCTAACTTGGTCTCGGTGTTTTTAAACGTTGCTGATAGGAAGTAATTATTTCAGGGCTAGAAGATGATGCCGCAAACATTGCTACTTTATAACGATCCGATTTAATGTGCCATATGATATCTGATGTGCCACCGCGAGCCATAGAAATTCGGATTTGCATTTGTCACACGGAACATGCGAATCGTTGTCGCGTGTTGCCTTCTTACTTAATGGAATATCGCTCTCCATTACGGTAGTCATCTTACACGTTCGTTTAAACATGGTTTTCCTACCAAACTGGACAAAATGCAGGCGTTCTCCACTAAAGTCCACTAAAGTTCTGGTTTTTTCACCTACATTCTACATGCTCAAAGTGGGACCATTCTGAGGTCTACGACCTCAATGCGGCTATCGAAGGTGGGGCGGGTTGATCGAACCGGCCGGCATGTAATGTATGCAAGACTTGTACCCCGCTGACCCAGACCGAACGCACGCTAGGGGTCAGTAACGATGAACTGCACTGTCACGGTGGGGACAGACACCTGATCCACCGCCTGACTGAAGCAGAGGCTAAATAGCGAAAAGAACTAGTGGCCACGTGCACAACTGAATGGACACTTGCAACAAGCCCTGAGAGCCTGTCCTTACATGGCATAGCGGTCGCGTACCGTGGCCAGATGAACACGTGCGAACGAAGTAACTAGGGCATGACGTGTTGCTAAATTTGGCCGCACAGTGTAAGTCCCGTGTGAATGGATGCACACCATCGGTTCACATACTGCGCCTAAGTTCGGTTTGCCTCAGTGGGACACTACAATTGCATGTGTGACCGGTCTCAGGAAACTCATTCATGTCAACATTGATCTGTCCCTATGCCATCACAGGCTCTCGCCCCGCCAAGAAATAAACCGTTTTTTAACAGTTAGTTCCCTTCAATAGTTTGAAGAACACAATGAGCAGATGACCACTGGTAAATGCGCGCATTTCGTATTGTCTCATCAATGCCAATACAATAAGTATACATTATCTTATACCTTTCCAAGGGTGTTGTTAACCAATCAAATGCAGTGATGTGAACAGCGGCAATCGTCCTAAGACTGGGGTATCGGTAGGTCAGCAACTGATTGTTTTTCCACACACTGGGCAGGTCTTAGCTGGCTTGTAGTCACGGCCTAGGCGAACCACAAGATGCCTGGATTGGTATGACGTAGTCTCCGAAATGCAGATCCGGCGTCAATCCGATAACGGGTCAATAAAACATGTCTGTTTAGCGAGGATGCTGGTGGTTTGCGTACACACGGAATATTGGGCGGGGTTGGCTGACCTCACACCGAACCCATTTGACCAGGTGTTCCTTCACTCCGGAATTCAAAACACTCCTATTCTTGCATATCTACCTGGCGACGCATGTATAATCAAATTGGTAAGTGCAGTGTGATTTGGCGCTGATGGGTTCTACTTCCTTTACTGAAAGTAGCGACTATTTCCGGGTTCTGTTGATCACCACAGCGTCTGCTGCGTGGTAGGTTATATGAGTGGCGGAAATTAAGTGCTTGTTTACCCTCGTTGAAGCAGTGTTACTCTTAACTGGGAGCTCGAGGTATACATTTTCCTTAGACGCTATCAACAGCGTTTCTTTCCGCGGCGTGGATTGGCTATGCTTCGTGATGCGGCGCTTATGGAGAGCGATATTCCATTAAGTAAGAAGGCAACACGCGACAACGATTCGCATGTTCCGTGTGACAAATGCAAATCCGAATTTTCTATGGCTCGCGGTGGCACATCAGATATCATATGGCACATTAAATCGGACCGTTACCAAGTAGCAGTGTTTACGGCATCATCTTCTAGCCCTGAAATAATCACTTCCTATCAGCAACGTTTGGAAACACCGAAGCCAAGTTAGTAGCCGAAGAAGGTACGTACTCTATTCACGCTATATTTCATAAGCACGCTTTCCACTCCCATGATTTGTCATTCCTTTTTTGAGCCAATGAGCTTCGCGCTTTGTGAAATACGTGATTCTCAGTATCCGCGAGGATTAGATATTGGCTAGAAATGTAGCTGCTCAGTTTCGTGCTAATGGAATATTGCCTCATCAGTTAATATGTTGGAATGAACGCTCGTGGTCCCGCCTGCAATAAATTGGGTAGCGTAACCACACTTGTTTCCTGAACCGACGATCAATACTGCAAAGGAAGAATAGGCTACGCGGCAGCGAGTAGTCTTTAGGCGGCATAGCATTTCAATATTCCTTTCTTAAAACGTCACATTTCATATTTGAAAGGCCTAATTGTAAGGAATGCCTGTTTTGCTGAGATCGGTTTTTGGGAGGTAACTATCATTCTACAAGGGCCTTGCCAATAACACTTGTGTTATTAGCTGGGTTAACACTAAGCACCTTTTGGACACTCCTTGCTCAGGTCAGTTACGCCTGCGCAAGCGCCACCACAATTCCACTCTAGTAGCCGTGTATTGCTGGATCGATTTTGCACACCTGTTTCCGTTCCAACAAGTCCGACACACCGTATGTATCGATCAGTGAGCTTGCCTTGTGGCGTGCCGTAGGTTGACTCCTACTCAACCATCCGCGCATGATCCAGCGTTTTCATGCTAGATGACACTGACAAGTACACATGTACCCACATGCATGAATACCGTCGTTCTACACCCATGTGACCGGGTGAGACATTTTGAGATATCACAACATCTGCTATTGGACAGTTGGCAATTTAGTGTGCTCTACCTCACACCCGAAGGAGGGACCTTACGTCCCGCAGCAACAGAGTAGAGGGACCAGAATTTTGGGACAGATAGTAGAGGCATCGTTGGCTTAAGTAGAGCTCAGCTGGCTTACTGTGGTTTGGCATCAAAGTCCTGGTCTGTGTTGTCTGGCGAAACTGCGCCTGCTCCGTAACGGAAAGGCCGCCCCATCTAGCCTTCGCACTTTCGTAAACAGCCACTGGCGCACTCGTCATTCATTTGACTGAGATCAGGAGAGATTAGTGTACGGAGAAAAACTGATATGAATATTTTTTAAATAAATTTTGTTACGTATTATCATGATCCATTTTTCACAGCATGGCCCCCATAACAATTCTTCTTATGGCTCCTGGAAATTCTCTGTGGCCTCTAGGGTGCCAAATGGCTTACGTTGAGAATGGCTGATCTAGGAGATTGAATGCGGGACCCTTTGTACCGCATCAACAGAGTAGAGGGACCAGTTTTGGAACTTGCCATACTTTTGCCTCCCGGGACGGTGGTAAATGTTTCACCTTGACCGAGCGCGCAATAGGCGCGTGAAGGACACACAATCGACTCAGGGTTAAGTGCCCATTAGTTTCCGATGAAATGAATGATCGTTTGGGACACTGAGTTACATGTGGTGGAAGTGACCGGAATGGATAAGTGAGGAGCTCGCGGGGAAGTACGTTTAAACAGGTGAGACACATAGCGCAAATATGTCGTTGGTCATACAAGTAACATTAAAATATTCAACCTTCGGCTGATATGGAACAGTTTCCATTTATATTTGGTACTGAACATTCGACTGCACTTAAAATGCCGCCCCTTACCACATGTCGCTCAGGGCAGACATCCCCAGCCCCTTCCTTGCTACGCAACTGCGAGAAGCTCAGGACGATGGTAGGCCTACTATTTCCGAATCCTCACGTCCTGATGGAGAAACACCTGAAGAAATTACTGTCTTGGGAGAAAAACACTTAGTCTACACTCGAGTTCTATTTCAGTTGTCTCCTTTGGAAGTAAAACGACGTGTTGCTCCCGGAATACTACTTTAGTAGTCGGTATCCAGGCCATGTTTCCTGGCCTGGCTACATAAGTTGAAACACAAAGCGATTCGCACACTGTAAAGTGGGACACTGGAGGAGACGTGTAGGAACAGGTGGGCGAGACTGTTTAGGGGATCGACCAGCATTTCCAAACTAGTTGCCCGCTTCCGAGTTTGACTGAGGCAACAGCGAAAGTGGTGAGGGAGATGACTCATTATTACCGAAAGGTCAAGGAACTTGTCTAGTCGGTGGGATATCGCGTACACACACGCGCATAGGCACGTACGCAAAAGTGCACAACCATTGTAACAATTTGTCCTAATCACATGTGTCTCTACTAGTTTGTGTTAATAGCCCAACCTACGGACAAAATGTTTTATTGACCGCACTTGCACTGTAGGTCATATAAATCTAACTGGCGTTTAGTTGACTGAACAGCTTTGACTGCTGATCGTCGCCCTAAAAAGCGCAGAAACAGGTACAGCTTATCACAAGTCTTCACTAGCTAATCAAAACAGTGACAATAAAGTTGTCCCTCTTGTTACGTGCATTCACGCTAGAAACCCTGAAGTACAACATCACCTTTGTTTTGCGTTCACGTCGCAATTTATCTTTACTTCTCTCATCTTTTGGTGCTCTATTTTAAACTACATCATCATTTGTCGTTTACTTCTCCTTTATTACAAGTGTCCACTCTATGGACCTGGCTCCGAGTGGTTACTTCCGGAGCTCACATCTCTTCGCATACGGTTCTCCAGTTCGCTGGAAATGAACATACAGATGAATAAGCTTGCCAGGCAGCGCAACTGTTCACCATCAAGTTTAAGCAGCAAATCCACCATAAACAGATTAAGTGAGTCAAAAAATGACTTCAACTGCCATTTTGCTTGCGAGAACTGGCTGATTCAGGAGAAGAGCAGAGCCGGCCACAAAATCATTCCCCATGCGTTTGGGCAGCTGAAGCTAGCATTTCCATTTAACCTCATCGCGCGAATCGCATGTGCCAAAGAACGTGGTGGATATCCTGATCAGAGACTCATCGTACAGCAAGTTGGTCGGTTGGTGCAGTATTACGCTAGACTGACCAAAGGAACAGCACCTAGCACGGACTACAGTGTGATCGACATCCCGGAGATTTGGGAAGTCCGGCAGTGATGACATCCGAGGACAGTTTACATTTTACTCCTACGATTTTATTTACTTTCGTCGGTTCGAACCAGAACCAGTGGACAACGGAGTCTGGTGCCAAATTAGAATTCAGCAACGCCATCAACTCTTTTACTCCATACAATCTGACTAAAACGGTCAGCGCACATTGTGTTGTCAAAAGGCACAGATTTCCGTGCTGTCTGTTTATCTCTGTCTACAGATTTTCCTACACCAATTATTGTCTAGTTTATTTTGGGATTGACTCCTCCATGTTTTCCGTATTTAAATCGCCTGCATAACTACCTACGCAGTGCTAACGGCGTTAAACTCCATGGGGCACTAGGCACATAAACTCAATCTGTTTTGGGCCAATAAGTTTAATGTTTACTGTTATTTCTCTCGTAGGATTATGTTGGCAAGGAATCCCGTGTCACCGAATTTTGTGCAGTAGAACCGCCAGTTCCCTAACATTGCAACACAAAATCCGTAGCGCCGTTTGCCAGAGCGTGGATGTTGCATCGGCTAGATTCGTCGTAGCCACACTAAGTTTCATTCAATTTCAGTAACATTACAATCATGTGTTTCTACGGATAATGAGCATAGAGCAATTTACCAAGGCGATAAAATTCTGTTTGGAGTCTGGTGGAACTGAAGGTTGTAGCGAGAACTGACTAGATGCTCAGATAGATTCCTAACCTTCGTCATTGAGTCCGTACATTAGGTTGAAGCTAACTGCGGTCCAGATTACATTCCACTCCCTCTATTGCAACTAGTTTTTAAATTCGTATAATTTGTGTGTACCACGGACTGACCTCGTGCTACAGTCGGAGAGACGAATAGCGCGCCGATCCGCCTAACAAACTCACGGTCTATGAGGAGGAATTGGCGTGTAACAATTGGTATCATTAAATCGCGGTGGAATGAATGATACCACTAGCGGAGACGTAACCAGATTACATCTACGAGTACGGTTCAAACGGTACTCGAGGTAAAAAAGCTGATACCATGTGAATAATCAAAATACTAAGCGCAATCTGGTTATTTGGTAATTTGAAACATGAATTTCCCTTTATAATACCAGAAGACGAATGTTGTGGGATAACACTCACATTTCATACATTCTCATCGGCTAGGTAAGTGCAACTAACAAAGAGACCTAATTAAGATCAAAATGTCTAAGCATTGTTTAACTGAATTATGATTGTGCGCTACTCTTTGCAACGGAAAGCTTAGCGCCACAGTCAGCTGTTTTTAAACACAGCGTTGGGCGCTGTTGATCGATAACAATGGCCTCGCGAAGCTTGAGAAGGCGAGGCCTTTAGCTGCGCTTGTAGCTGCGGAGATAGTTATGTTGGGCATATTGATCAAAACCTAGGTGCCCGGAGCAACGAACACATTCCGACATAGCTCCGCAAACGGATGGAACTGGCGACGGCTTCACCGGGTGAATCGAGTAGCAAAACTATCTCAGCAATTACGAGGCATTTGCTGAACGCCGGTCAACGGGTAAACCTGGATGAATCATTCCCAGTCGTCATGCGCAGCCAAAGGCCTCATATTCTTAAGCTTATCGAGGCTATTGTTATCGATCGACAGCGCCCAACGCCCGGCGCTCAAAACTAGCTGACTGTGACGTTAACGTTTCCGTGGTAGAGAGTAGCGCATACTCGTAACTCATCTGAACAACAACCGGACTTACGTGATCATAAGTTGGTTTTTGTTATTTCCATGCACCTGACCGGTGAGAATGCCCGAAATAAGAGTTTCATCCCGCAACATTCATCTTCTGATATTCTTAATCGGTAATCGTCAGTGTAGTAGTTTACGTTCGTTAATTTGAAATTCACACTCCCCCAGCATCTTCCTTCGTCTTCGGTACTAATTAGTACCAGTAAAAATACTTGTCACCATTCTCTTCGGAATCTTCCTTCGTTAGCGCGGACAATAAGTGCTTGAACCAGCCCCTCATGCCTTGTTTCTACATCTACTGCAGTGTCCTTAGGCCCTTATGCTTAAGTATGCCATTAAGACTAAATCGCCAGCCTTTAAGTTGCATCTTCGTTCCTGCCATCCTTGCCGTGTCTGCAATTTAGTTGAGTAATACTTCAGCTACTCTACCCAAAACCCATGTGGCAACCGCTGAACTTGTCGCAATTGTCTTGTAAGCCAGTTCGGGAAATCTCTCTGCACTGTCTTCAGGGGCCTGTTGGTAGGCAAGGTTAAAGTTGGGTTGCAATTTGCGAAACCATCTTGTTAAGCTAACCAGGTGCTGTGGCGGCGAGTGAATGTAACATAATGCTCGCTGCAACAACTGTAGCCCTTGTTGCTGACATTAGGGTACAACCGACACAAAAGCGGTGATCCCTTAGTCTCCATCAGTTAGTGTATCAGTTTGAAGGATGGTGAAAATTCGATATGAGTATCCAGTTCGTGGTTCCGCGAATACCTATTTACTTGCGTTCTTAGAATCATATGCTCCTGAAAAATGATGTATTTCCTGATCCCAGCACGTAACTGTCGACAATTATCACAGTTGTATTTGTTTTGATCACATGGTTAATCCGAGTTGGAGTAATTAAAAGATTCCTACTAGCTACGCTCGCACGTTATATCCACAGACAAGCTAAAACAAATTCCATTCATGGTTGACATCTTCTGACAAGGATGACAAGTAACTTCTGTTCGAATAACACAACCAAAAGTTTGACGGACCGCTTTAGTTTCCGCCACCTTCTATACTGTTTATCTGAGCGACGTTGTTACTGGTTGCCGCACTTCTTGTGACGTCATCGGTTGTGATGGCACCCATGATGGCGTATAACATTGACCCCCGGACACTGATTAACCTGTGAATCAGGGAGGAGGTTCGGGTGCATTCCATACCTTTATTCCGAACTAGGAAGGAAGCAGTATTATCAGCAGGAATCCATGCGGTGCTGGAGCAGGACGCGTGCATGGATGATTTGGAAGTTAGCTTCGCAGAGCTGGAGAAGGAGGCCTTGCCGATGCTAAGGGCATGACAATGCTTATGCAAGACTAATAAATGGATGAGGTGCTTGCTGGAGAACTTTCTGCTATCCACTCGCCGGACTGACTGGATGAGTGCATACGCTCCTAGGGGATACAATTCGGAAACTAGATCAAATGAAACGTCGAATAGGAGCTAAGTTCAGGTGCAGCAGGACCTTCTTGGTTCCATACTCACAAGAGGACCGGAGGATGCACACCACAGATGAGCCACAATAGGGTGAAATGGTCTTCTGGTGCTTGTCCGGATTGGTAGTTGAGTTATCTGAATTGTCGGCTGCTTGCGACGAACTCAAAAGAACCTTGTTTAGAGTTACACTCAGAAGGAGATCGGTCCTTCCACGAGAGAGCTGTGTAGACACCATGATATAATAACTGGGGGCAGCAGATGAGGATGAGATCGCATTTCCAGCATGGTTGACCGGATCACACGCAGACGAATCGGTTCTGTTGGCGGCAGAAACAACAGCAGTGAAAACCGAAGAGGAGCAAGGCTCTGTGCAGCTGTGAGAAGATTTTGGGACTCAGTACCTGATGGGCGTCTAAGATCAAAAGATGAACATGTATGGTCCGGAATGATAGAAATCCGTGAAATAAAAGGCGTTGACGGTTCTCGAGCAGTGAAAAATGTGATTGGTGGATTATCGGTGGCTGGTGTGGTTGCGGACAGCGCAGTAGGCGGGAATGTAATTTGGCTCATATTAAAGTGGTAAAACGCGCTCTTCAGTAGTGCTGTGGGAACACGAGATGTACTACTCGCAGCCAAATTACTGCGGTTTGGTCGCTTTGTGCGCGAAGTAGGAGGGTTTGTGATGCTCTCCGAATGAGGTTATGTACCGGATTTACGCCTTCTGAGAATAAGAGCAACGGAGCCTAGCGAAGCAATAATCTGCAATGATGGATTGCAAGTGCCCGTAGAAAGAGTGTCTGTACAGGCTCTTTGTGTATCTGGTCCCCAGCCGGTCCTTTCAGAATCCAGCCCAACGGTGTCCGCAGGGCAAACGTTTCCGAAAGCATTCTATAGAGCTGCTCCAGTACCAAGTGAACATGTGAGAAGTGCATACCTCATCATTATCATCATCAATACACTTTTGCTGAGGGTAAAAACACACATCAGCTAATGTGTCGCAACATTCAAACCTACTATAACACCAGTGTTCTGACTCAGGCCATCCACGAATTGCAAATCTTTCAGGTGTACCCAGCTCTGTAGGCGACTCAGCTCTGCTTTAACTCGTTTGACTTGAAGCATTATCTGAGCAGGCCAGACGTAGCCCAATAAAATAGCTTCACCTCCAGCTAAGAGTAGTAGCTCTACTTTCACTGCCTGTGAGGGAATGCTTCATTTCCAGTAACAGTAGATTCTAACTACTGACACGTCTGTTCGTTGGTGAATCTTATGCAGTGGTTGCACTTCGATCAACGAGGTTCTCTGGCAGGGATTGAGTGGAACGTCCGTCACTATAAATTTGGCTTTACCACGGAGCTTCACAAGAATAACTCCAAGAGCTACCTGACTAACAGACCCTGTCACTTCATTCACAACTGCAGATGAAGATGTTTATACTACATTGGCCTTGTGTACCTGTGGTTGGTGCTGCGACTGGCAACTATCTAGTTAATAAGCAAACGGGGAATCACAGTCTCTTGACAAATAGTTCAACTTCAGGCATAATTCACACAGGCCTTGTTCTGATACGAGTGACAAAAGCTCAACATCGTTCATTGATAGAAATAAAATAAATAGATACATACAGTTTTATTCTAGGCCAATCGAGACACGCCTGCACAGTCATGCTCATGGAAAGAGTACAAAGAGTGATCATTTAATGTACAATGGAACAATAGATTGTCACAGATGTTAATATATGAATGGGTGTATATTTGCATGTAGGAGTGTGTGGCTGTGTTTATGGGATTTGGAAATGTATTCCTGCACTATTGATCGTGTTTGAACGTGTCCCCAGTGCTAAAGGGATGCTTTATGTTTGTGGACTTGAAGCCATGGTCATGATAATCAAAAAGCAAAGACTTTAGTTGGTGGCGAGTCACAACCGCCACGTCACAGTGTTGATAAACCGACAGTTGTGGCTTATTAAAGGGAGAATGATTGCCAGGCGACAATCTATCACTTCCTGGAACACTGCCGCCGAACTATTTGTTGGAACCGGGTAAACCCGAACCCCCCAGCTGGCACCAGGAGGTTGTTCGGCCAGCCTGTCAACCGAGGACAATTATTCAAGTAATGGATATGCATGCCCGGTACACAAATCGG